ATCTTCCCTCTAACTTCAAATGCAGAAACGCAGATGCAAATGGTTATTCTCATGAGCATTTGAGGTCTTACTCCCCCACAGTTGTCATCAGTTTGGCTCCAAAACTCTTATAAAATATTCTCTACACATTAGGACATTTCTTATACCAAAATTATTGTCTTTTCTTCATTTACAACATACATGCACACACGTGTTTTCTCTGTGTGGAGTGGGAAGCTCACACAATTATTAAAAACCTGCTACCTGGGCAGGATGAGTTAGTTCTAAAGAGTTTACACCGCTTGGTGTGGGCACTGATGTTGCCAACCACTGAGCCCCACCAGCCAGGGTCCATGTGTAAATGATGGAAATTCTCCCAATTTGAGGGGCTCAAAATCGGCTTTTGCACATGAACAGCAGGAAGTTGCGTGAAATCTGTGGTTTGGGGAGGCTTCTGTGTGCCTGTGAGAGTGGCAGCAGGTTTGAGATGGAGGCTGCAGCCACAGCGTCCAGCCCAGCCTCTCCTGCCTCCTCACCTGTAGAGGTTCGAGTTTTAATAGGGGTAGAAATAGAATGTGGGAAACCGACTAGAATTGTACGACATAGGCATCCTGCTCTGTTCACCATGATTGTTTATTCTGATTGGAGAAGGCACCTTCTAGCCTGGCTGGCAGCCACACTGGGACCTGAAAGCTCACGTGGAAGTGCAGCCCCTCCTCCCCATTTGGAGCTGCCCATCATTCTGGAGATGAACAACTTTCCTGCAGGAACCAGCCAGGCTGCCCTTTGAAGGTCCCAGCCCTCTGCTCCCTGTCACCTGCCCCTTTGGCAGAGCCTTTGGCTACTTCCCACGTAATCTTCTATCCTTTCACTCAATATAGCAGCCGGTTTATGGGGGCTGCAGAGCAGGTTTTTGTCGGTAACCTGCTGCTCCTTCACATTGCTGCACTATTGGAATGAATGCCCATATATGACTCACCCCTGCCTCTGCCTATTTGGCTCAAGTCGTAGAAAGCAGCAGGGACCATGCATTGTCTGATTACATATTTGTGTGTAAGATCTGATTGGGGAAAATAACAAGGAGAACTTTTCAGTTGAAAAATAAATGCATCATCTAAAGCAAATTCTTATTCCCAAACCTCAGAAAGGAAACATGGCCTACGGCACGTGAAGGAGAGCGAAAGGAAGCCCCATCCACGTGCCTCTGGGGAGGCAGCCCTGGGTCCTCATCAAAACCCCAGGAAGGAGCACTCTCATCCTGGAAGCTTCCCCCAAAGGAATGGGGTCAGGGTGACGGGTCTCAGGAAAGGAGGGAGGGAGGGGGGTCAGGACGGGAACCCTTGTGGCCAGCATCCTTGAGTCCTTTCCCATCTGGGGTCGCCCCTAGGATGACAAGGTCAGGCAAGAAGCCCAGGGTCTCAGCTGCACCTTATATGCAGACTCCATGCAAATGGGGCTCTCCTCCTGCTCATAAAAGGGGGCCCTTGTCCGGCATGTTGGGGAGAAACCCAGAACCTAGGCGCCTGAAACAGGACCCCAGCGGCTCCACCATGGACTTGGTGCCAAGCTGTGTTTGCTGCCTCTGTGTAGGACCGCTTCACCATCTCCAGAGACAACGCCAAGAACTCGATGTATCTGCAAATGAATAGCCTGAGAACCGAGGACTTGGCCGTGTATTACTGTGCGAGAGACACAGTGAGAGGAAGTCAGTGTGAGCCCAGACACTAACCTCCCTGAAGAGACAGCAGGGCTGGGCTGCAGGAAATGTCCTGGACACCAGGGGGCGCTCAGGACCAGCAAACCCAGGGTCCCACCTCAGAGGCAGTCCCTGGAGGATTGTGAGGGCTTCTTACAGGGGTCAATGCTTTCTTCCTCCTAGTGTCCCCGGGGGTGTTCCTGCTTCCTTTTCTTCTGTGTTTAATTAGATTCTGTGCAGGAAAAAAGCAGGAATTGGCTGTGTGTCAGATCTGGTCGATTTCTCATCTGGGTGTGTCCTGTCACCATGTCCCTGATGGTTGCTCTCTGGGTTGACAAGGCAAATATTGTAGGGATTCTTGTTCCCTCACTGAGAACGACGTCCCCCAACCTCCATGCAGTGCTGAGCTGGGAACACGGAGTCTAGGCCTCAAACCTCACGTGAGGGTGGTCAGCCCCTCGCTCTGCCCCAAGAGGAGCCCTTTGGGTGCAGTTAGCTGCTTGCCTCTCACTGACATGGCTGCACATGCAGGTTGAGGGTCTGACCCCTATGGGCACTGCCCCTTCGTGAGCCTGGGAGATGGACCCAGCTCCCAGGGTGTCCCTGGATGGAGGCAAGAGGGAGGTCCAGTGACGGGCCCTGTCACAGCCCTGCTGAGCCCTGTTCCCCATCAGTCTCATAACCCGGCCCCGGAGAATATGACCCAACACCAGTCCTGCTTCCCCTGCAGAACCACCTGCATCCTCAGGACCTGCTGAAGAGAGACATGGTCCCACCCACCTCTGCTGTGCCTCCAGCTTCACAGACACCCCCCCATCCTCACCCTCTGTCCTCTGCCACCCACACTCTCACCCATGGGGCCTGCACAGGACGTCCCATGTGTATGCGTCTTCCCTCTCCTTCCTTCCCTGGTAGGTTTTTTCTTAAATGCAGCCCTGCATCATCCCCGCATGCCCATTTGCTGTGCCAGGCCCTCTCTGAGACACCAGG